GAACCCTAAACCCCTAAACCCTCAACCCCTCAACCCCTAAGCCCCTAAACCCCTCAACCCCTCAGAAGCTAACCCCTACCCTAAACCCCTAAACCCTAAACCCCTAAGCCCTAAACCTCTAAACCCCTAAACCCCTAAACCCCTAAACCCTACACCCTACACCGCGGCTCTGCCATGTTCTGCTTGATTGTAATCCTGCCACTGAGTTCAGCTGCAACCTCTCGGCTGCCGAGCATTGCTACCAGAATTTGGCATTGTCCTAAAATAGGGGCCTAAATAATTACCTATATTATTTTGGGGGTTCCTTATAATAAGAAAAAAAGAAGGGGGCCCAAACCCTCAATTAATTCTGAGGGCCCCTACATAATCGTGGCTCCGAGCATCAAGCTGCCAAGGTAGTCGGCTTGGCACTCCGGTTTTCGGACATCATGAAGATGAAAACAGAGTCGGGAAGCCCCGCGGCGAAGCTGAACACGGGGAAGAGGCTGGAAGCGGTTGTCACGGAATTCCATTCCAGCAGCTTGATGACAGCGAAATACCACATGGACACCGACAAATTCCGATCGGTGCTCAACCGCACCGTTGGCACCACGCCCGAGCCTTCAAAATGATGAAAGTCATGGCTTGCACATGTTGCCATGCCCTAGGCACAGATTAGGACATGTTGGTTGCATTCTAGATCACGCTCATCCGCTAATCAGTCCCTACATAACCGTACGAAAACATACCCCAGACGGCCCTGAACATACGAGCCAAACCCTAAACCCTAAACCCTAACCCCCTAAACCCTAAACTCCTAAACCCTAAACCCTAAACCCTAGACCACAAAGCCTGATCAAACCCTATTGTCACATCCTCGAAAACCTCCGAGAACTTCTTCGGCCTGCCAGATTCGAGTTCTCGGAGTCTACATTCCGCAGGGTTTAGGGTTTGGGGGATTTTGGGTTTAGGGTTTAGGGTTTTGGGGTGGTCTTGCAGCCGAACTCTCTCGCACCCAACCTTAAAACACAAAGCCCACGCAAGCCCTGTAGCTCCAAAGCTCTGGGCCTCAAGCACGTCACGAAACCGCTGGAAGCCTATTACATCTTATATCCCTGAAGCCTGGAAGCCCTAGACCCTAGACCCTAAACCCTAAACCCCTAAACCCTAAACCCTAAACCCTAAACCCTAAACCCTAAACCCTAAACCCTAGACGCTAAACCCTTCGGAGCCCTCTAGCGCACCAGAGCCTGAAGCTCTAGACTAAGTTCTCCAAAACCCAACCTTTAAACTTTTTGGGTCCTTATAATTCAGTAGTAATCTGAAAGTTTAACCCAGCCTTTGAACTTTTTGGGTTCTTATAGCTCAGTAGTAATCTGAAAGTTCAAAAATCTGAAAGTTTAACCTTTTCTTTCCGTGGCTTATCGGGGAAGTAAGTAGAGGCCTCAGCCCTGGACCCCCAATATCCCAAGCCTGAAACCCTACACAGCTTCAGCTCCAGCCGGAGCCTCGAACCCTAAACCCCATTCTGGGGGCTTCCGAAAATAGGGGACCCCAATATAGTACCCTAAATAGTAGCATCCTTATTATAAGGACCCCCAAATAAGGTACCCTAATTTTCGGAAACTCCCATATCCTAAACCTTCCTTAACGGATCAGGGACGGAGCAACTAGGGGTTCTGAACAAGGTAGCTATGGGTTAACAGCCACATGCAACGCTTGAGCCTAGATCCCTAAACCCTAAACCCCAAACCCAAAACCCCAACATCCTAAACCTTGAGCCCCCAACGGCCCTCGAGCCGAGAGGGGGATTTGTGGGCGGGAGGCTCAGCCCTCTGATGTGGCCACTTCTGGGAAAGATGGGCAGGCACGGAGATTGGCGGTTTAGGGTTTAGGGTTTAGGGTTTAGGGTTTAGGGTTTAGGGTTTGGGCTTTAGGGTTTGGGGTTCGGGGGTTTGAGGTTTGGAGTTTAAGAGTTGGGGGTTTCAGGTACTAGTATGGGGCTCAGAGTTCTGAAAATACCGGGCACCTGGTTTTGGAATGTAGATGTCCTTGGAATGTTGCTCCTTTTAAGGGGTCCTTCGTTTCCTGAAACTCTGATGTCGAAGGAGAAGAGACGGGGTGAGCTCCGTCCTGGCCAAAGGATCCAGGGTTAGCGTGGGGGCCTAAATAGTTACCTAAACTATTCGGGGGGGTTCCTTAGTCTACTTAGAGATAGCAGACCCCAAAGCCAAAACCTTATTCTAATTCCTAAGGTCCCTATATTGTAAAGGAGATTACTCCTGGTTCCGGTCAGATCACAGCCCAAAGCAGATTGCAACAGTGATTTGGCAGGATTACGTTTGATATACGACGGTAGGGTTTGGGGTTTAGGGTTTAGGGTTTAGGGTTTCAAGCGGGTTCTGGAGCGTAGGTTTGAGCATTGACTGAGGCGTTCTGCACACTTCCGATTGCCGTGACGTCGCATGCAGTGCTTCCTAAGCCTCCAATAGGGCCGCCTGCGCTTTCAGCTTCGGCACGGCAGGCTTAAGACGGGTGCCACAACAAGTCATTTTTCTCTAGGTTCCTTGTCAAATTTAGGGTTCAGGGGAACATTCTATTTTCCTTGGTGTGGGGTTTCGGGTTGGATGCCATGGCTTTCTAAACGGCGGGACATGCTATGGAGTATATTATTTTGGTTGTCTATGTGGTTGCATACGGATTCATCCTTGTGTTCTTCAGGTGGGTCTCTTATTGGAGTCTTCTACTGCTGCCTTGGGGCAGTTCACGGAAGTGTTCATCCCTTGGGCGCTCGGTGGCCTAAATGGGTGTGCAGTGTTTAAGTTGCAAACTTAAGATACTCCAAAACCCTATTGTAGATTTTTCAGGCCCCCACACTGGACCACCTTATAAAGGCGATCGTTTACGGGATCAGTCTTCATCACTTGGCAGACTTCGGGTAGGATCTGCAACACAAAGGTCTCAAGAACCAGCAGCAACACCCCCTTATAGTCATAGACGCGCACGATGCTATACCGCAGAGCCCCCATTACGGCCCCACCGTAGACCTATAGCACTATAAAGCCCTATCTATTCCAACAAGTAAAGGCCCCTATCTTGGCTAGAGGTCGGTTGACTCCTCATCGCAGGCAACGCCTAAAGACGGCCAGAAGCCTTCAACCCAGAGCCCTTACTCTACGGGGTTTAGGGTTCCATAGGGTGCAAGTAGGAGGGGTCCAAACAGGCACAGCGACCATGGCATTTGAGCAAGTTTTGGGTCCTTGGACCCTGAAGCCCTAAGCCCGAAAGCCTGAAACCCTAAACCCTAAAGAGACAGAAAGCCCGAAGCTCTGAAAAATCTGGAAAGGTGGGGTGCCGCTCTGAGACACCTTGTGGAGGCCAGGCAGATAGGCTTCTCGTGCGTGGAGAGTAGGAGGGTTTTAGCCCTTTGCAGGTAGCGCTGCCCACCATCTATGGGCCCGCTTGCGGTGGGGTGCAGAGCCAAGGAAATCTGTTTTCCGCCGTCTCTTTACCCACTAATACTGCCCCCTTAACGCACATCTTCGTTCCATAAGATGCCCACGAAACCCCATCGAACATTATCATATGCCAATAGTCCGTAAAGGCCCTCTCTTGAGCCTCACTCTCTTTGTCAAGGGGGCTGCTGCCTGCTATGGGTTTGGTTTTAGGGTTTAGGCTTTAGGCTTTGGGGTTTAGTAACTTAGGCTGCTCAATTGAGGCTCTAAGTATCCTAATGAGTTACCGTTTTTTATAACCCTAGTGACTAAGTCGCAGGATGTTCCAAGTACCCCAACAGCCCTAGACCCTTAGTAGCGGCCCCAAAAGATCCCTTAAAGGGCCCTCAAACCGGACTACGTCCCATGATCCTCTCCAATTATAGAGGACCCTAAACCCGAAACCCTAAAGCCTAAACCCTAAAGCCTAAACCCTAAAAGGGGCTAGTGCATTTAAAAAAAAAAACCCTAATCCTAAATGCTAAACCCTAAACCCTAAATCCTAAACCCTAAATCCTAAACCCTAAAAGCCTAAACAGCCTTCCAAGGTAGAGCCATGTCGAGGCTTCGCTACTGCGTTGAGTGGCTGGTGCCCGGGCTGCCAGTTCAGGGTGGAGGTATTAGGCTGTAGGGTCAGGGTTTAAGGTTTACCTGGACCCCAAAAGTATGTAGAATAACAGCCTTTTAGAGGCTTTGGGCCATTATTTTACCTACTTTTGGGGGTTTAGGTAGGGATGAATTAGGGTTTAGGGTTCAGAGTTTAAGGTTTAGGTTCTAGGGTTAAGGTTGGAGGATTTAGGCTGTAGGGTTTAGGGTTCAGGCTTCAGGGTCAAGGGTTTAGGGTGGAGGAGGTGGGCTCTAGGGTTTAGGGTTCAGGGTTGAGCCTGTCGGATTCAGTATATACGAGATCTGTTCAAGATGATTTCCTGCCGTTTTTCGGATTTAGGCTGCAGAAGAATATTTAAACCCGTAAGACCTTGAACCCTAAACCCCTCGCCCAAGCGCTTCCTCAGCCGGTACCGATAAGGCCTTTTGCTTCAGCTTTCCATCTACCCTTGACTCCCAAACAGCCTCTCACTCGAGTTTTATTCAGGCACCGGTGGCAGCAATTGGATGGGCAGAAAGTAACCCTAAACCCTAAACCCCAAATCCTGCCGTTCATGCCGCATCCACACGTTCCAAGCGGTAAAGGTGGTGTAGAGTCAGTATACACAAGTTCAAGGCCATGGCCTTTGATCAAAGTCCGGGAGAGACCCTGGTTGCAGACTTCCCAAAGAGTCTAAAAGGTTTCGGGTTTAGGGTTTACCTTAACCTACCAAAACCTACATTTTTGTAGGTTCTTATTATGAGCCCTAATATGGAACTTATAGGGTTTAGGGTTTAGGGTTTAGGGTTTAGGGTTTAGGGTTTAGGGTTTAGGGTTTAGGGTTTAGGGACCTACAAAAAAGAGGTTCTGGTGGGTTAAGGTAGGGTTTAGGGATCCTATATGAGGTATTTGATCAGCACTCCCATGCACGATGCATTCTCGCCGCGGTCTCAGCTGACTGCGTGGTCTCCATCGTGTTTCAAAGGTTCAGGGCTTTCTGTCTTAGGAGTCTTGCGGTTCATTTTGGTTTAGGGTTTAGGGTTCAGGGTTCAGGGTTTAGGGTTTAGGGTTTAGGGTTTAGGGTTTAGGGTTTAGGGTTTAGGGTTTAGGGTTCCTTAACCCTAAACCCTAAACCTCTCGAGGCCCTCAACCCTAAGCCGTGTTGACCTTGATAGCCTTTGAGATGGCTTGGAGGCTCGGGGGACTTGAAAAGTAGATCTGAGGTCATGTGGGTGGTTGTCAAAATTATGGTCCCTAGTTGGGTCCTTATTATAATACGGCACCTATTATTTAGGGTACCCCAAAAGGGACCATAATTTTGACAACTACCCATGTGTGGTCATCCTATTCAATCGGTAATATAGAGCCCTCAACAACTAGAACAGGGTTTTGGGCCCATTTTTCTATAATTATAATAAGGAGCCACCAAAAGAGTATTGGTAGTTATCTAGGCCCCTACATTACAAAAAGAAACATCATCCCCGGTAAAGCCGGTTGCAAGGGCGGACCTTACGTAGAGGATCAGGGGGAATCAGTAGGTGAGGTTATAAGTACCCTACTTGGGGTCTTAAGTCGTTGTAGTGGCCGTAATAATATATAGCCCTAGATACTAAGCCCATGATCCTCCAAGTACTAAACCACTGATCCCTTAACTCGTTTTTTCTTTGGCCTTTGTGGGCTGCCTTTGCAGTTTCAGTCTTCAGGTCCCCCAGTAGTGGACCTTGAACCCTTTCATTTTGGGGTTTCCTTAGTTTCAGAATAATCCAACAATGGGAACCCTAGTACAAGCCCTAACTCTTAAAAGCCGAAAAGGGTGCTTGCTACCACAAGCCTCACTGCGAAGATTTTGTACCAACGGCGGAAAGAATCGAAACCATACCCTCTTCTGTAAATCCTGGACCCTAAACCATAGTTTCGCAAAATGAATATTTACCGAATATTACCAACTCAGTATAATTCCGGAGGTATTAAGGCCACTAGTTTAAGCCCGAAACCCTCAACCTTAAACCCTAAAGTGCTGGAACCCTAAAGCCCGAAAACTTAGACCCCAAAGCCCTAATCCCGCAACTCCGCAACGCAAGGCCGACCACCGAAGCGGATCTGGCGGTTCTGGCTGTGTTCGGATCTTTGGGCTTTCGAGGTTTAAGGTGTGCTGACTGACGGTCAGGGTGTAAGGTTTGGGATTTAGGGTTTGGGATTTGGGTTGAGGGTCTTGGGTTGAGGTTTAGAGTTTAGGGTTCAGGATTTTTATACATCCCGAAAAATAACGACTGAGAAGAACTGTATGATATGTTGTGAGGTTTATTCCTGAGTTTGGGGGCGGGGGCCTGGGGCAGAATAGAAGCCCAGATGCTTTCTGAATACTTAGAGGTTCGTGGGACTTAGTAACTAGGGTTATAAATAAGGTAACTAGACTTATATTTACTTATAACCCCAATTAGGGTACTTATAACCTTACTTACTAAGTCCCATGATCCTCCAAGTAAGCCTTGCGCGGGGGGGCGGAAAGTTGCCTTGCCTTCCTTCAGCAGGCTCCAGTCCTCCCGCAACCCCTGCAAGGTCCGTCTCTCGCAGAACCCAGAGACCCCAATACCCCTTAATTAAGGAATATACCTTAAACCATATTAGGCATCCTACTATAGTTTAAGGTATATTCCTTAATTAAGGGATATTGGAGTCTCTGGGAAGTTCGTCGAGTGAGGAGGAGCACCGGCTGAGTGAGCACCAGGTGCAAGAACTGCGTGCCCGCGCTCTCCAACGGGTGGCGGTTCCGGGCGACGGCGACTGCCTCTTCTCCAGTCTGGGGGAAGTTCTACGCATGTCCTCGTCCCACCTCCGCCATCGTGCCGTTCAGCTGGTCCGCGAATCTCCCGAAAAGAATTTACAACAGATCAGCCATTCGATGCTGAGGAGGCTCTGGAGGAAGACCGCCTGTTGGCGCAGGCAGTGCAGCTGTCGCTCAATATGGGGGTTTCCGAAAATTAGGGGTACCTTATTTTGGGGTCCTTATAATAAGGATCCTATTATTTAGGATGCTATATTAGGGTCCCCTATTTTCGGAAACCCCCATATTAATGAGGATGATGACGACGATGGCTCCTCGCAGTCCTGATCGATTGCGATCCTGACTGAAGTTCCAGGTTCCCCAGTAATTAGTACCCTTTTGCCCTTTCTCTTTTTGGGGTTCCCTTTATAAAACCACATCGTAGCTAAAAGGGTACCCCTATCATTAAGGGGTCTACTGGGGAGCCCAGAGTTCGACTTGAGGTTTCCTGAGCCGCCTTTGGTGTTGCAAGGAGCGGTTCCCAGCGGGAAGAACTGCCATACTTCTTCCTTGGGGTTCGTTCTGATGCCATAGCATACCCCGAAGCCCTATTCTACTTAAGGCCCCTGTATTAGTTTTGAGTTATCTGGGATTTGCCTAAACCCTAAACCCTAAACCCTAAACCCTAAACCCTAAACCCTAAACCCTAAACCCTAAACCCTAAACCCTAAACCCTAACCTGCCACGCAGTGGTTTGCATCGGCGAAGACACAATGCGGCAACGCGGTTCCCACTCGCCGCTTCGACTGGGAGTCGCCCGTCTCAGAGCCGAATTTAGGGGGCCCTTAATAGTTTAGGGTTTAGGGTTTTAGGGTTTAGGGTTTAGGGTTTAGGGTTTAGGAAACCCTAAACCCTGAACCCTAAACCCTAAACCCTAAACCGTTACCAACACCATTTGTTGTTATAACCATAATACAATATTTTGGGGGTTCCTTATTATAACTATAGTATAAGATATTTCAAAACCCTACACTCTGAACCCTAAACCCTGCAACTCTGCGCGTCGAAGCACGGGGGCTCTGAGTCTATTATAGGGGTCTTAATAAATTACGAATACTATTGTGGGGCTTCCTTATTTTTTTCGTATAAAATACTCCGGAACCCTATTCTAATTATTAAGGCCCCTTTATTACAACTTCATGTGCTGCATTTGCCACCGTCACGCTAACCACAAGAAGGAACAGAGCGAGACCGAGCTCCCACCACCAACAGCAGCAGCAGCAGCTGCTAGAACAACTACATCGACGAGAACAGAAGCAACTAGATTAGCCACAGCGGCAGTCGAAAAAACAGCAATGAATGAACTGCAAACCCTAAGCCTCTACACCCGTTCACCCTTTAAAGCACTCAAGAGCAAATCCCTAAATGGGCCTAAATCCCAAATCCAAACTGTCAGCCCTACAAAACCCCAAACCTCAAACCCCTCCACCCCAAACCCAAACCCCTTATCCCTAAGGCACAAACCCTTACATCCCAAACCCAAGCACTCAATCCAATAACAACCCTCCACCCCAGGCCCCTAAATCCCAAACCCAAAGGGTAGCCTTAGAAACCCCTCAACCCCAAACCTTTGAACCGGACACCCCGTGACTGCCAGGCACCGAAGGAGCTACAGCCGCCGGGGCAGGCATGGCAGGGCGTTGTCATAATGGTTGAGGGTTAGGAGTCTATGTTCAGATGATGACAAGTGCTTTATGAGGTGCTCAAGGGTGCTATAGGGTTTTGTTTTGATGGCTTAGGGATGTCGGGTTTAGGATTGAAGACACCCTGCTTCGGATTGACGAATGAGGTTTCACGTGAGGTCTGCGTTTAGGGTTTTGAGATGGAGAGTTTTACGTCTTTTGGTTTGGGGTCCGAACCTTATCATTGCGCCTGTAGGTACCGCAGCATGCAGCGCATTTGGTACGATTCCCGATGAAGATTCTGGTATAGGGGTCGGAGCAATGAGGATACAATGTCAGTTTCTTCCAGTCCCTCTATAGTGTAGTATACTGCGAATCCAATTCTTGAGCTTTGTTAGCTCCAAAATCCGAAACACTAAGCCGAATCACTAGTGCCCCTGCACAAGGCTTCCTAGCAGAAAACTTTTTTGAAGAGCTTCGGGTGGCGATCGAGAAGGACGTTGCGATGAAATTCGATGTGAATGCAACGAATGAGGGGTCAGCCGCGAGCGTTGCTGCCAAGCAACTTCAGCGTGCAAGACTGGGTTCTTGTTAAGGGAT